CCGTATGTATGTATAAACCTGGCTTTATATTTTGCAATAGAAACAGAGCGCGAAAAAGAATAGATAATGTGCGGGTATTCTCCATATGCACTTATATGTACATTATGTACATATGTATGTAATTTGTAATTTTATATATAGCAAATAATTATGTTTACTATGTATATAATGTATTTTATGCATAATGTGAGTGCATGTATGGTTGATTTTTATTGTTTTTATTTTGTCCTTATATACATATGTAAATGTGTATAAATGTATACTTATAAATATTCTTATATCGAACAGTTTCGGGCTTTTTTCGCAAATTAATAAAATTAAATTTTTCTTTTATTTATATTTAATATAGTTTAATAAGGATAAACTGTAGTTTTCAGTATAAATAAGTGCATATTAAATATAACAATAAGTGGAATCAATACGACTGACTTTGTAACGCATCAAGGGTTTTAGGGGAAATTTGATGTGTAGTGGCGTTGTAGTTGCCAATTCTTCCTTCGCCTCCGCGAGAGTTTACTTCTTATTCCTTGTGTGTTATTTGTTCTTGATTTGTTGAACATATTTGTTGTATATATGTATGTTTTCTGTTTAGTCGCGACCGGTTTTTATATATTATTTTGTTTTTATAGTTTCGTGTTTAAGTGCTTTTAGGTTTCGCGCCCGATATGTCTTTTAGTTTTTTTGTTTGCTACAGTTTTGTAGTTTTTGTTTTTAATGCACTTTGTGTTTTTAACTGTTTGTTTCACTGCACTCTTTTCGTTGTTTTTTTTTATTTTATTATATGTTCTGTCACTAAACTTTGTGTTAAGTATGGGTATACATAATTATGTATTTTATTTTCACTGTGTATATTTGATCACCATACCGCACTGTTTATAAGTGTTTTTTTATATTTTTTTTTTTATAAATCCGAAGGTGCCTTTCGGTGAGGCTCGAAGGACCATGAATATTTTGGGACCCAGTCCACTGGGAACACACTCAACACGGTAAACAAGATATTCATAATGCACCAAAACTCGCAATTAATGTTTAAGTGTAATTTTTATATGTTCTATTTATTCGTGCTCTATGTTACAAAATATAATATATATGTACTATACATTCGCAATCAAATCAAAAAATGTAAAGCTAACGCGCGAGGCGGCGAGGATCCAAGCATGTATCAAAAATCACTGGTGGAGCTGCCGATTAAGTTGACACCGAAAAAAAGATTATTTGTAATGTCCAGTCACTGCATCGAGGTAACGTAGCGAAAAAACAAGGTAAATGCGTTGAATCGTTGTTTCATCGAAAAGTGTATACGCGAAAAGTTGATGTGGCGCTAAGGCCCGTAGACGATAAGCGAGTGATGATGTGAGGCGATGATCCCGTCCCTTTTGTTAGATGTACAGGTGCCGTGTTATGGTGTGTTTTCATCGAGTGGTCAGAACCTGTGATTGTTCTCTGGAGTGGTGTGTTGCATTAGGGTGCGCCAGTTGTTACCGGAGAGAGTGGTGGTACTGAGGCTTAGCTCATTTAAACACTCTTAAAATATCTTGATTTTTTCCATAAACTCGATAATTATGACATTTTTTGTTTTATTCTTATGTTTTCTCCTATAGAAATAACGATAAATTAAATCGTAACAATAATGTAAACTATTTTCTCAACTTACATTTCAAATCTGTCAGCAAAAATCCTTTTGCTTTATTTCTGATAACAAAACCGATAAAATTGGTTTCCGTGACACCCAAAACCGATACAATTTCTTCGAACGTCAAACCAATAATATCGGAATTCATGATACCTAGTGCATTTTTTTATCGGTTTCAATTCTGATTCCGGCAACTATTAGATTCTACAACACCCCTGAATAACATATCTTTTGACATCAGTAGTTGTTGAATAATTTTAAAGTTCAAATCCAAAAAAATAGTTTCCCAATATCTAGGTTAGGTTAGGTTAGGTTAGGGGGTCGATCCTAAGAAGGATCACACTTGGACAGCTTAAACGCCGGTCCGTTGTGGTACCCAAAACTCCTATGAGCCGGATCAATAGACCCTTACATGTCGACAAAGCGCTTTGTGCCTATGACAAACTTGTTGAGACGGCCAATATCTGTTTCGGCCAGATCTTCTGGTCCGCCAAAAGTGTGATTGCCGAGATGTTTCAATCTCAACCTAGCAAAAGCCGGACAATGGAGGAGAAAGTGCCGGGATGTTTCCACTTCACCCTCCTCCATACAGCTTTGACAACTGCCATCAGGTAGTATTCTAAGCCGCACCGCATGAGTTCCCATTGGACAGTGGCCAGTGAGAACTTCTACCATGGCGGCGAGGTGAACTTTGTTCAAGGCGAGAAGATCCCCCGACCTCCTGCGATCCACTCTCGGCCAGAAGGATCGCGCAGTCGCGCAGTAGCTGGTCGTCGACCAGCGTCTGCTGAGCGCATGCGAGGTCCATTAGTCCAGAGCCAGAATGCAAGACATTAGTGGAGAACCAACTCGATCCCATTCCGATGTGAGCGGGGCAAGGGTACCCCCCCTGGCCAGCTCATCGGCCTTGCAATTCCCAGCGATTCCGCTGTGACCAGGCACCCAAACGAGCCTGATATTGAAGTAGCCTGATGCTAATTCTAGCGAGGACAGACACTCCTTGACTAGCTTTGAATGCACGGTACGCGCACTCAGGGCTTGTATTGCCGCTCTGCTGTCGGGGTGAATGCTCACCTCTCTAAACGAAGCTACACTACGTAACAGTACTTCTACTGCCACCTTGATCGCGGCCACTTCCGCCTGAAAAACGCTACAGTGGTCCGGTAGCCTGAAGCAAAGATTGACGGAGAGCGCTTTACAGAAAACCCCCCTCCAATTTTCCCTCCAAGCTTCGACCCATCCGTGAAAAAACTCACCGCGCCTCTTCTCCAGCGGCTTCTTCCCCTCCACATCTCCCTCGTCGGGATATGAGCAGAGAAAAAGCCGCCTCAAGTGGCCGCTGTGACGCAGTGATCCAAATTTTCAGGAATGCAGGTGAAGGAGGAGAGAATTGCGGCGTGTCCTTGTTCGGACCTCTTCACAAGCCCAGCTTCTCTGAGCCTAATAGCACACCTCGCAGCAATGCACCTACCGGCAATGTCCACAGGTGCTATATTTAATATAGCGTTGAGAGCTATCGTTGGTGTGGTTCGCAGTGCACCGGAGATTCCGATGAGCGCCGCTCTTTGGACTCGCTCAAGCTTTTTAGCCAGGGTAGTCATTTCGAGCGCCTTCCACCAGACGAACACACCATAGAACAGTATTGCCTTGACTACGGTTTCGTAGAGCCAGAACACCACCTTTGGTGAGAGTCCCCAATTTTTCCCTATAGCTCCCCTGCAGCAGTTTAAGGCGACCGATGTCTTCTTGACTCTCTACTCGATGTTCGGGCTCCAAGAAAGCTTTCTATCAAGGATGAGCCCTAGGTATTTCACCTTATCAACAGGTTGAAGACGTGAACCCCCGAAGGAGGGGAGAGGCACATTTGGAATCTTATACCTCCTAGTGAATAAAACCATTTCGGTTTTACTTGGGTTGACGGCTAGGCCGCTTCTGTTTGCCCAGTTGGATACCACGTTTAGGTACCCTTCGGTGAGCTCATAGACGGTATTCAGGAATTTACCTTTAACCATAAGAACCACAGCATCAGCATAGGCTATCACCCGACAGCCTTGCTCCTCGAGTTCTATAAGTAGGTCGTTTACCACCAAGATCCAGAGCAGTGGTGAGAGTACTCCACCCTGCGGAGTTCCCATATTAACCTTTCTGGTTGACTTGGCAGTACCCCACTCCGCTACGACAGTTCTGTCGCAAAGAAGACTGAAAATGAGGTGTTTGAGGTTCGATTCCACCTCAAACTTTTCGAGGGCTTTAACCACTGCCTCTGGCCGCACGTTATTGAAGGCCCCCTCGATGTCGAGAAAGGTGCCCACTGCAAATTCCTTGTGCATCAGCACTGTCTCCAGCCACGACACTACATCATGCAAAGCAGTGTCGACCGACCTGCCCTTGATATAGGCATGCTGCGCCCGTAACAGTTTACCCCTCGGTATTCTGCATCTAATGTACAGATCTATAAGTCTCTCCAGCGTTTTTAACAGAAACGAGGATAGGCTGATAGGTCTGAAATCTTTTGCACCGACATGAGAGCTTTTACCGGCCTTCGAAATGAATGCAACCTTAACCTGTCTCCAGGCCTTCGGGGCCCAATCTAACACAGTTCGCGTAGATAGAGGACAGCCAGCTACATGACATCTTAACCGTTCGCTGTAGTTGCGCCGGTATGATGCCATCAGGACCCGGGGAGTAATCTTCCCATTATCTAATTCGACTCAAAATTTATAAAAAAAAGCAAGAAAAATGCTAACTTCGGCTGCGTCAGTACCCTTTACAGATTCAAGTTTTCTTAAAAGAACTTTAATTCCATCGTTCAATTTTTATGGTAGCTATATGCTATAGTGGTCCGTTTGATAGAACAATTTCTTCCGAGATTGCATCGTTGCCTTGGACAATATTACAGGACTGATTCCGTGAAGATATCAAATAAAATAGTTTTTCATACAAGCACTTGATTTTGATTGTTCAGTTTGTATGGTAGTTGTATGCTGTTGTGATCCTATATTGATTCCAACAAATGAATGCTTCTTGGAGAGAGAAGGTCGTGTGCAAAATTTCAGATTGATAGCTCGAAGAGGGACTAGATTAGTATATACAGACGGATATGGCTAAATCGACTCAGCTCATAATTCTGACCATTTATTTGTAGTTTCCGACTTTTTTTTTTGGGGCGTTATAAACTTCGGGGCAAATCTAATATACCATATTCAAGGCATACAAATATTTTGCTTAAATTAATTTCGATTCCATTTATTTACACTATAGCCTTTAAATCTATAAATTCGCTTCGATGATTAAAAGTATCTGTACATTGCAGTAGTATTTAGTACTTACGTGGTGCGTTTATAAATATATTTAATATATACAAATGTCTTTTATGTAATATTACATACCAGATTAATTATCGAACTCGAAAAGCTTTCTTTTATTATTAATTTACATTCGCCGTTGAAAAAATTGTTTTCAGAAACAGCTATATATATACATATGTATGTATATTCACTAAGGATGCAGAATACAAAGCTTTCATCTCAAAAAAAAAAAATTAAACGAAAATACATTCAATTAAAACACAATTAGTTTAAAGCGATTTAAAATCAATTTGATAAAACGGCATCACAATTCTAGATATTTACTTGTATATTACAATACAATTAATAATATCGCAAGTGACTGTTTTGCACATATGATCCCTCATGTAACCACGAAAGTTGGAGTTATCCACATTATGCGCGAATGTAAGTAATTGTTTGAAATTTAACATCCAAAGGTGGAGAGAATTTCACCGTTTTGGTTCTCGTTTAGTTATATACAGCTATACATTTACATTTAAAATTTTGTCAATTTGGTTTCCCAAAATAATGCCAAATATTATTGACTTAACTCAGAATTATTATTTTAATTCAGAAATCGTGATATTGAGATATTGAGTGTTTTTTTCGAGGTTTTTGTTATTTTTCGAGGGTTTTAGCATATTTTGTTAGTGTGGTGGTATTGTAATATCCGTGATCCCTGAAGTACAGTTACATAACATTACTATAGTACTTTAGCGCGCATGGTTTTTACAGAAGGGACGACCGCCCTTATTGTAAAAGCTCTGTCCTTCCAAATTTTGTTTGCAGTACTAAAAAAAGAGCTAATATTAATGACTTTAAACTTAACACTTAAATTTTGTGAATGACTTACAGTGCAATTGAAGCATTGACTGTGATAATTGTGATTCAACGCTTCGACCCATCTGTCACCTGCTTCAACTGGGAATCCGCAAGCGAAACATTTGGTTGTAAAAAGTTCATTCCAATCCGCTTCACAGTATGCATTGCCATCTTCCAAGAAGAAAGGGGTGTTTCCAAAGAGTTTACCGCAGTGACCACATGTGAAGCATTCTGGATGGAATTGCTTACCGATGGCATTCAAACAATCACCCTAAGAGATCAAAAATTACCGTATAACTTCATTTAAGTAACAATAACGAACTAACCTTTATTTTGCTTCCACACTTGCTACATGTAGGAGCTAAGTACTTTTCAAAACAGTATTCACAATAAAGATCGCCTTTCTCCTCAACGAATCCAATGTCTTGCAATGGACGACGACAGTTGGCATTTACACAAATGAAGTGCTCAGGGCACCAGATACGTCCCAATGCCGTAATGAAAGGTCCTCTGAATAAGAAATATATTACAAAAACCTTAAAAAATATTTCGAACAAATATATATATATAACCTTAGTTAACGATAGGTAATGTATGTATACATAAATGGAATCATCTTAATACACATAAAACGAATTTCACATTTTGTTAATCATATATAAACGTTTACTCACTTTGTTATTTCTAAATTACACTGGCAGCAGATCGGACGCTTGCCATCTTTTAGTAACTGACTTACAACTTCTTCTTTTTCCAGCGGCATAATTGTGTTTGGGATACCTTCACCATTGTTTGACTTTGGGCCAAGAGCTCGGACGTGTATACTAAATGCGGGTCCTTCTGGTGCACTGTCACTTACATTGAGATCAGTTGGTTCAATATATGACCGTCGATCTAGCTCATGAGTGGACATTTCACCTTCCCTTTGGATTACACATTGTTTTAGTGGAGCACCAGTTTTTTCGCGATATATTACATTTTGTGGTTTACTTGCAGATGGAGTATCGATTAACTGACAACTTGTAATATCACCCCCCTCAGTTGATTTAATGGAGTTGTCGGTTTCGTTCGCATGTGTATAATGTGGAATGTTAACAGACTGGGGAGTTGATGTGTAATTTTGTTTGTTGTTATCACAAATACCAAGTAATTTTCCTATAGGATGGCTAGTTGGCAACTCTGCGGGAAGTGTATTGTCTAGATTTTTTGAAAAAATTTCTTGATCCGCCTTTTGACAAGTAACCTGACACTCAATAAGTGTATTTTGCTCAGTCAACTGCTGAACAATCACCACGGGTTTTAAAACACCTGGAACGGTTGGATCAACATTTTTGAAGTCCTCTAAATCGAAGCGTTTACGAATTAACATGGGACTTCTTGATTGATTGGAGCTACAATTGCTTCGCAAACTAGACGTACTACCACCATGAGATGAAGTCAGGTTCGTACTACGATTATTTGCCAATCGGGCTTCCAACATATTTGAAATAATTTTCCCCGCTTCTGTCATAAAATTGTCTATCTTATCTCCTACATTTATTAAGCCAATGGATTCTGTCAACATATCAGTAGCATTGTCATCGGCTTGCAATTCAGTATCCGATTGATGAGTGTCCGAAATATTTCGATTCATTTTCGAGTTTACTTTGTGTGGAAGTGTGGCGTTAGCATTAGTGAGTTTAGTAGAAAGCTCTGCAAAATGAACAAAATAGAAACACAACGGTATCGAGCCAAGGGTTATACTAGGTTAGACAACACATCCATATAATTAAAGAAAAGTGTATGCATTCGAAAATGGTTAATATGAAATACATATCAATAAGGCGGGATAAGTTAGATCAATGAAATGGGCTGGAAAAGGGGAATCACATATTTTACGAAATAGTAAAAAGCAAATTCAATTTAACAAACAATACTTAAAAACTCAGAAAATACATTTTCATGCTCAACGTACAACTCATCATTATTAAAAACTATTAAATAACTATGTATTAAAACCAAAAAAAACACCAAACTCTCAATTCAGTACGCAGCATTCACCTGATCTGGATATTGCAGCTGCTACACAAGGGTACACGAACGCCAGGACTAACCGCTTTGTTAAAGATTCCACGTCCACGCTTTGGAGCAGAAGTAGCACTAAACGCTGCTTTACCTCCAACACCTGTGGAGCCATTGAGACCAACGTTAGATTTGCTTTTATCAACGGTATTAGGTGGCGGAAATGATGTAGTTGCGGTTGCAGCAGTCGCGGCAGATGTAGCGGTATACGGCGCTTGCGATGTCACTGTGTCAATGGCATTAGCCGCATTAGCGGTAGCAATAGCAGTAGCTTGCGCATTAGTCTTTATATCCGTTAAACCTGTGGAAGCGTTCGTCCGATATGTTACTTTATTATTTTGATTATAATTAACTACGTCAGTTGTAGGCGATTGCGCTTGCAACTGTTGCTGTCTGCAGCAAGTGTGACCCGGACGACAGAATGTACCCGTTACGGGGCAAACGGCACTGGCGCCGGAGGTCCTGGCACTTGCCGCTCCAGCTATATTGTTATTAGTAATATAAGCTTTTGTTAAACTGCCAACATTAGCGACATTAGCTTGCGATGATAATGATGATATTTTGCTTGTGGACGAAGTGAAGTTGCTGCTTGAATATGTGCTTAATGATTGCTGTTGTTGCGAAACCACAGATGATCCATATGCAGTTGACAAGTGTATGGCAGGTGATAACTGTTGCTGTTGTTCATTAAATCTTGGTGGTGGACCAACCATTTTGTTATAAGGGGTCGCAGAAAATAAATAGTTTGGACGTTCAGGTTCATCGTGAGGGGGAAACACCGGTTTAGTCGGAAATTTCGATGACGGTTCGGGCGACTTTATTTGAGGAAATAATGTCTCAGTTAGGGTGGCTGCTCGTGCACTAATGGCCTGAGATTGACTAGCCAGATTGGTAATCTCCTGCTCTAAACCAGATAAGCGACGTGCCTGATTAGCGACATATCCCGTTTTCCCGTACGATTGGCGACGTTCGCTTGCAGAAATAGCAGGAGTCGATTTGGTACTTTTTGAATCAGTGCGAATCTCTACAGAACGGGCGCTTTGAGTGCGTTCATATTCCTCAGTTACTCGTCGCCTACTCTCAATCTGAGTATCTCTAAGTTTAATTTTTGTTTGGCTATCTAATTTTGATTGCTTTTGATCTACTTTGTGGACTTCTTTTTCAGTGCTTTGTACCCCGTAATCACCAATTTCACAAGTTTCAATTATCTCAGGTTTATTAATGCAGCTTTGACTTCCTCTACTGATTGCTTGATCGTAGTGTGATAATATTTGTGTTTGTTGCTGCTGCTGTTGCAGCTGTTGTTGAGCACCTAAATAACTTTGTCCAGTAGTAATTGAGCCGGCTTGAAGGACACGCGGAGACAAGGAAGACAACTTATTATCTTTGGGTTTTGGTGAACGTATAGCAGCTAATGGGTTCGGTGGTGGACCCGGAGCAGGAGATCGTGCACGATCTGGATATGGCGAAGCTGACCGACGTTCGTAATTACGAGCATGGGTCGCAGGACACTCATCAAAGCACAGCGCTTCTGGTGTTTGATAGTAAGGAATTACTGGGACTGGTTTTGAGCTAATTGAAGGCGTATAAGGGCGACTTAGTGTTTGTGACTCGTCAGTTTGCAAGTGTTCGTCTAAGGATTGAAAAGCCATTGTTACTTGGGGAGCTGTTTTTTCTTCGATTATGATAGGTACGATAGGTTTTTTGGTTTGCGTTAACAATTTCGATTGCTCTTGAGAAGACAATTTGTTACTTGTAGTTATGATCGAACTACGATTTGCAATTGTGGTTTTTTCATGTTGCTGATGATACTGTTGAGAAACTGCTGTTGTTGTACAGCTTTGGGCTACTGGTTTATGTATTAGGTTACTTGATGAACTAGTGACTGGCGCATCTACAAAAGCAAGTGGAATATTTTCACGAAGTTCTGGTGGTTCTGGAGTACGAGCAGGACTTTGCGTGGGCAATACTGTCCAATTGCGTTGATATTTAGGTATCGTATCAGCCTTGTGCAAACCGGAAGAAGCTGATTTCCCATGAAGATGACTTAGCGGTGATGGTGGTGGAAAAAGTACTTCAGAATGTTCGAGCTCTTCAGTTGTTTCTTCAATGACTTCGTGCAAGTCGACCTTGGTATCAGACTTAACGGAGCGAGCATTGTTTTGATATGATGACCTTGAGTCATGCGTTGAATTGGAGTCGTACGTGCTAGTAGAAGTGGTGTTTGACATTGCTTGGACTGCGGAAGAGGATTCAGAGGAAGAATTTCGTTTGGTATAGGAATTTAATGAGGACATTTGGCATGTATTAGTCTCTGATATTTTTTGACTTCTGCTTGGTTCAATATGTTGTTGCTGAAGTTCTTGTTCTTTTTTGTGATAGTAATCAATGCGCTTTTTATTACGTTCTTTAGCTTTATAGTATCCTTCATAATCAGGATCAAAATCTTCTTTTGTATAGGACGTAATGGATTGGCGTGGAGTGTTGGAAATTAAAGGCTCTTGGTTTGGTTGGAATGCTTGCATTGCCGCAAATGCGGATGATTTACTATGCTGTGGAAAATCAGGCTTTTCCGTTGTATAATATTCGATTGACTCACTGTCGAGAGCCTTAATACCTAATTCTTCTTCACGATTAAGAACTTGAAATTCTTGTTTCTTTTTCTGCTTTTCAATTTCTTGTTCCTCAAACATATTTGTAGCGTTTTCCGGATTTAATGGTGTATAAGCACGTTCCGGTGCCGTACATAATGCATCTGACAAGGTTAAGTGTTCTTTGGGTGTGGGAAGGTCAAGCAAATGAATAGGCACATCCCTTTCAAAATGACCTTCAAAGGGACGTTCTGGTGCTGTAGTAAGTGCACTTAAAAATGGTGATTTGGGACGGTAATCCTCCAGCATATATGGTCTCATATCAATAGGCGGTGGCATATATGGTTTAGTTTCTTCGGGAAGAGGAATTATTTGTGAAGGAGGAGGCTCAAAGCGTACCTCCCACTCTGGTGCTGTTGTTATAGCACTCGCAAGCCACGAACCTTTGGGTGGACTTTCTTCAACAGATAATAATTCTTCAGTATACACCTTATCCTTTGTATCTTGAGTTATTGCAGTTTCTTGGGGTGTTTGATCTTTCTCCAAACATTCGAATGAATCACAGTCACAAGGTTTTGGGCATGGGCACTCTACTAAGTGAAAAGGCACGTCTGGAGCTGTAGTCAATACCCTAACCATGGGGTTGATCCATTCCTTCGGCACAGTGTTGGGTATTTTAGACTTTGGTATTTGTCGTACAGGAGCTATTTCAATTTTAATTTCGGAAGTGGGTTGAAAAATACGCTGACTTTGTTGAACTTCAGCGCGCTCAGTTTTAACAAAAGTTTCACTTTCCTCTAGTGAACCAGATGGAACTGTGGAACTAGAAGAGACTGTGTCGCTATTAGCTAGGGTTTGAGATTTATATTCTTCGTCCCTATATGATTGAATTTCTTTAGTCACAGGTTCGTCTATAAACACGACATGCCTATTTGCTTGGATATTCGGCGGGGGAACTGGACTAGGTGTTACCTCCCTGACCATATCGATTAATTTGTTTGTATTTAATGGTGCAACTAAAGACTCAACGCATTCTTGAGCACTTCGACGTCCACATATATATTCGGATGAACTTATACAGGAGGAATCTTGTGGATGTTGTTGCATAGTAGCAACTTCCATATCCATATGGTAATCTAACTCGGATCCGGAATGCTGCTCATAAATTTGTTGCATTTGATAGGCTTGCACCTGTGAGGCATACATACGTTGGTATTCTTCTGAAGTTGTCGTAGTTGTTGTCGATGTTGATGTAAAACTTTCCGAACTAGACTCAATTTCAGGCGGTTGCAAATCTACAGTTAGATGTGGTGCCGACTTGCTCTGTCGATTTGACCGAAGGTTTTGCTTTATATTTTGATCCTGTTTATTTTCTTTAATTTTATCTACATTCAAATATTGCTTATTAGCCCCTTCATCGTCCTTTTGCAAATGTGAAACTTTCGGTGCTTTGGCGACAACATGTTGGGTTTCTGGCGGAGGAATATAAAGTGGTGCCGCCGTCGGTACAATGGGACTATCTTCTTTTGCTGGAGGCCAAAAGAAGTTACCTCGGTTTTGTCTGTTAACTTCAGACAGCTCAAAATCTTCTTCAAAGTAATCAACTCCGACTGGCGCTGAGTTAGAATTTAACTCTTCCGCATATTGCGGTTGCAAGCTAGCATCGGAATCTATATGTCAAGGTATGTTAGGGATGGATATTGGGTGGGATTTACATTTCATTCATTTTTTCAAGTGTGGAGATTTATATTTGAAATGTTCGGATTTTGACATTTTGCGCCATAATATTTATGTTTAAATATACAGGCATTAGGCGTAAGACACCAGTATTCAGATATACCATTGATAATGTGTTTTATATTAAATTTTAAATGATGATTAGCGCATTGTTTGACGAAGGATGAGGAGTGAGGGTGAATGGCGAGCAAATGTTGCAAATAGCGGTTAATTAGTAATATATCAACGTGAGAGTGTGAACATAAGATTACATGTACGAGATCGAAAAAGAAATAAAATACATTTATTTGTTATAATTACTTCGAAGCGTAAGAGGCTTGCCTAAGAGTATAAACTGACTACAAATTGACAAATGAATTAAAGGTTAAGATAATGAATGAGGCGCTTTGAAAATAAAAAATTATTTGTATCTGCGACTTAGAGAGGATTGGTGTGTGTATTTATTTGTGTATGCATATACATACGAGTATGTAGGAGCAAAATTTTAGAATTAGAGAGGCTGTGTTAAACGTTAATGGCGTTAGCCATTCGTAAAGACCTTCTTAATAACCCATGTGACGATACAACCATTTTTTCGATATTTTTTAGGTTACAATTATTGCCCCAAACGGATTAACATTGACTTATATACATATGCACATCCGAGTTCATAAGTCTACAGCTAGTATTTACTATTCCGAAAAAACACAATTTTCATACGACATAAATATAATACACAGTTCATGTTTTGTCCACAAACACAACTCCACCTGTTAGTTGCATTGCTGATGTGACAGTTTATATCGGATTTTATTAGTTCCCTTCCCACCAACAAGTTCAATAGAATTATTTCGGAGTTTTTACTTTCTTTGAGTGTCCTAGTTATACTTTTGCAACATGTTGCTATAGAATATTATAGTTTTGTTAACCTAACGACTGTTTGTAACACCTAGAAATAATCGAGATATAGGGTTATATATATATATAAATGATCAGGATGACGAGATAAATTGAAATGCGGTTGACTATTCGTCCGTCCCTCCGTCTGTCTGTGCAAGCTGTAACTTGAGTTAAAATTAAGATATCCTAAGTCGAATCAAGAGGACGAGTTCGTAGATTGGCGTAATAGGGCTACTGCCAGCAAAACGCCATTAATCGAAGACATATAAATTGCCATAACTAAACCGCAAATTAAGACAAACAAGTAAGAAAGAGCTAAGTTCGGGTGTAACCGAACATTTCTTACTCTTTCAACTTTCATGGATCAAATGCGGGAAAAAAGGAGCTTGGCAAAACTTCATATTAAAAGATCTTGCGAAAGAATTCAACATTCATTATTTGACGTGACATGAATGAATTGCGATAAAATTTGGTATCTTAAAATTCTGTATGAAAACAAAACTTAAATATTTACTGATTATTTGAGACACATCTGTATTTATAAATATTATTAAAGGGTAAAATGAGTAAACGAATCACTTTAAGGCATATTCTCAGTTCAGCATATTCAAAGTTTGCCTTAAGTACAAGTGTTCGCGGAACACTATAAATAGAACAATTCGCGAAAAGGAAAGATTGTCAACTAAGACCATGTTACCAAATTTGGATAGAAAACGCATCCGGTGCAGCAATTCAATGGAAATTGACCGTGTTATAACCATTTGGTTTAACCAAATGCGGGCATCAGGCGCTGTAATATCAGGAAATATGGTCCGTGAAATAGTAAATTAAGATGAATAACAATATGTTCTATATTTCTTCACGAAACTTTTACAATCTATACCCATTTTGACGACGGCTTGTCTTGTTATGGGGAACCTAATTATGGAAACATAAATGCGAAAATTTGATTCTATGTGGGTCATTCTATGTCAAATGGTTGGACGCGACCCCCACCGATTCTAATGAATATTACGAAATTTTTGTCTTATCATAAAACAAAGCTCTGTCAACGGAAAAAATTTGAGGTTACTTTTTACGATTTGGAAAAATTCAAAATTTTTGTCTAACAAATTTTTTCTCATACCCTAAGTGTCCTCTGAGAACGCACCAGCGTTCTTTATTTAATATACAGTAGTTTCTGAAATATTAAATAAATAAACCCATAAAATCGGAAAAACAGTGAAATTTTCAATTTATAAAATTCGAATCTGTCGCGATGTTGAAGATATTACGATGAATATTCAATCTAAAATAGCAGAATTTTTCAAAAAAAACAAAGTAATACGTAAATTCTTTCTAAAGTACATTATTTTTATACAAAATGGACAGTTCTACTTTATTTATTTTCTTGAATGCTACAGAGACTGTAATTGATTGTTATCATGAATTTTTAGTTTGTTTTATTACTTTTAAATTCGACTGCTTTGCTTTTTAAAGATTATCTCTTTCAAATATTGGCCGCGGTTACGTCTCAGGTGGTCGATCCATTGAGTCCAATTGTCGATGACTCGTTCAAGCATTTCGACTGGTAACTGGCGAATGACAAGCGTGATGTTTTACTCCAAGACCTGAATTGAAGTGGAATTGTCCGCATAGACTTTAGACTTTTCCCCACAGAAAAAGTAGAAGATCAGGAATATATACCGCTGTGACAGTTGAGTCGTTCTCCACACGCATATACTCGTATGTCTCTCAAAAAATATAACGTTTGAATGTGTAAAGGCCCATTCCCATATCTACAACTTTCCTGGCTTTATATGACAGTTCATACTGCAACAAACAGGCGCAGAAAACAAAGGATATGCGACACTAACCGCTTTGCTTTCAGTGTTCCCCTCTTATAAAAGTGGCGACGATTGCTTGGCAAAGCGTAAAAAGAGGAGAGTTGCTCAACATTTTGTTTGGCTTCGCGTCGAAAACTTTTTATGTGAATGTACTCATACAAAAGCGTACATTCAACTTTTCTGTCAAAACAAATGACTGACGTAAAGCGAAGCAAAAGTTCTAAGTAAATTGGCCAAAAGAATGCCGACCACTGGTCTAAACCAAAGTTTTCACTAACGACTTCCCAACGTAGGCCAAATTGAAGATTAAATATTCAAAAATCAAACAATATTGAGAAAGAATCTTTTTCTAAAAAAAAAAAAAAATCTTTTTAAAGGTTTAAAAACAAACATACCCATTGACCCAGAAATGGACCTCATCGCTGAACAAAATTTGGCTCGAAAACGTCAGACCTTCCTTGAACTTTTCAAGAGCCCATTGAGCGAAGTGATGTCACTTGGGCGCCGACGGCTTGGCATACTTTAAACGTATTATTCACGCAAAGTTTTACGCCGATATAATCATTGTTGCTTGATTTGTATACTGGAAAGTAAAAAAATCAGATGGAACTTAAAATGGTGTTATATGGGAAATAGGCGTGGTTGTAATCCGATTTCACCCATTTTCGCATTATAACATAGAAATATGAAAAGAATGTTATGAACCTAATTTGGTGGAAAGCGGTTAAGCAGATCCCAAGATATGGTTTTTCACCTAAAAGTGGGCGATTCTATGCCCACTGTCTAATTTTGAACGCGGTTCCTATAAAGTCATCTCATATCATCCCAGAAATAAAATTTATTGTCTCTGGCGTGTTTAGTGCTTGATTTATCGCGCTTTTAGCAGTTTTTAACTGTACCGTTATATGGGGAGTGGGGTTGTCAGCCGATTTCACCTATTTTCACACCGTCGATAGAGGTGCTAAACGCATTTGCTCCAAGGGAATTTTGTTATTATAGCTTCAGTGGTATAGGAAATATGCACATTAAACTTATTAGGTGGCGAGACCACGCCTACTTGAAAAAAATTTATATTACATATGCCCCTCCATAATGTGATTCTGTATTCCAAATAAGAGTCTTGTATCTTGTTGTGGATCTTCGTTATGGGAATTCATTTGTTTTTGATCATTGGTGTTTTGTGGGCGTGGCAGTGGTCCGATTATGCCCATATGCAATACCAACCGTCTTACGGTACCAAGAAACATGTGTACCAAGTTTCATAAAGATATCTTAATTTTTACTCATGTTACAGCTAGCACAGACGGACGGACAGACAGTCACCCGGATTTCAACACGTCTCTTTATCCTGATCATTTATATATATATAACCCGTTATCGAACTCGATTAGTTTTAGGTTATACAAACAACCGTTAGGCAAACAAAACTATTATATTCTGTAGCAACAAGTTGCGAGAGTATAAATATACCTCTACTTGGATCACCCGTTATTAGCAATCCCAACTTCAACCCTTCAGGCCTAAATGGATAATTTTCTAATTAGGTGTCGCATATGCGGGGCTGAGCATGAAGGTCATATACGGTCCATAATTTTAAAAAATAATTAATTATATAAAATAAAACTTGCTATACAAAAAAAACAAATAATTGTAATGCATTGATTAAACAAAAGTTATTACAATTTATTTTTGTAGCTCGGTTTGTGGGCCACCCTATAGTGAAATGATTTGAGTCGGGTCAAAACATCCAAGTCGTTGTGGTTTTCTAATATTTGTAACTAATATCAGAATTTTCAAACGTTTGGTTGACTTTACTCCATATATAATAATGATGGTATGTGAGGCACCTTAATAAAACTCAGAGAGGATTTTATCTTGCTAATAGTATGTTGTATTGTCAAAAATAGATAAAATCGGGTCAATAATACCCCATCTCCCATATACCTAACATAAGGTTTTCAAACTACCGGTTGGCCTTGCACCCTATATAACAGCCAATAGTATAATATTAAGTTATACTATAGTTAAATGCCGAAAATATGTGAATTTTCTGGAAAATGTTGGCAAAATTAATTCACTCCGCCCATCCTTCTCTCTCTGCCCCCAATGTAAGTTAATATATAATAAAATTGATTGTAATGCATTCACGATTTCGTCGAACAATGAATGTTGAAACCTTTCACAACATTTTTATACTCTTGCAACATGTTGCTACAGTTTTGTTTTGT